CCGGGCAGTGGTGGCGCATACCTTTAATCCCAGCACTTGGGAGGCAGGGGCAAGCGGATTTCTGAGTTCAAGGCCAGCCTGGTATACAGAGTGAGTTCTAGGACAGCCAGGGCTCCACAGAGAAACTCTGTATCAAAAACAAACAAACAAACAAACAAAAAACAAAACAAAAAAATTAAAGAAAAAGAGTTTATGAATTTGAGTGAGTACAAAGCAGAAAGGGGGACGGGGCAGTACATGAAGGGGGCTGGAAGGCGGAAAGGGAATGGAGGAAATGACATAATTATATAATAATCTCAAAAATAAGAAATTACAGCCAGGTGGTAGCGGAGCATGCCTTTAATTCCAGGACTTGGGAGGCAGAGGCAGGTGGATCTCTGTGAGTTTGAGGTCAGTCAGGGCTACATAATGAGACCTCGTCCCAAAAAACAAACACGAAAGAATACAAGATCCTTGTCTGCATAACGAGCTCGAAGGCAGCCTACACAAAGCCCAGAGTGGGGCTGCACGTCTTTTTGATCGAGGTGGGGGCAGGCAGATCCTTGTGAGCTCCAGGTCACCCTGGTCTGTACAATAAGACTCTGTCTGGAAGAGAGAAAGAAAGAAAGAAAGAAAGAAAGAGAGAGAGAGAGAGAGAGAGAGAGAGAGAGAGAGAGAGATCTGCATGCACTGATGGTCCTTCAACAGTTTGTGGTTGTTCTTCTGTCTGTACTAGGATGTAATAGAAAAGCTTCCTGAGCGTTCCCCTGCCTCTGTGGCGGCCAAACTGAATTGGGGTATACATCTATGTGGCAGGGAAGTTCCCACACTTGAGTTGAGAAGCTCTTCATGCGATCTTATTTTCCACACTTTTCGCCATAACTGGCTGCTGCCTACAGTCCATGCAACACCAGGACTTAAGACAAATAGGACTGACACCTTATTTTGATCATGATTTACGTGGAGTGGAGGCACTGTTTTTTTTTTTTTTTTTTGGTTTTTCAAGACAGGGTTTCTCTGTGTAGCCCTGGCTGTCCTGGATCTCACTCTGTAGACCAGGCTAGCCTCAAACTCAGAAATCCACCTGCCTCTGCCTCCCAAGTGCTGGGATTAAAGGTGTATGTCACCACTGCCCGGCAGCTACTCCATTTTCTTAAAACCCTAGTTATTTTGATACTTTGAACCTAAAAAAAATCAAGAAGAAGCAGTGGGGTAGAAGGGAGAACACTTGTAACTCTAGTTATTCAGTAGCCTGAGACAGGAGGATTGCAAGTTCAAGGCCTATCAGGCAACTTACTCCAAGTCTCAACTTTTAAATGAAGGCAGGACAGCTCAGTGGTAGAGTGCTCACCAAGCATTTGTGAGGCCCAGGGTTCAATTCTTAGTATCACAGAGAGAAAGAGAGGTGGGGGGATCGAGAAGGAGAAGGAGGAGGAGAAGAAAGAAGAAGAGGAGGAAAACGAAGAAGGAAGGAAGGAACAACAGTAATTAAGTGAGGAGAGAGATAGTCTATATTTGCTAAAGAAAAAGACACTGCCCCGTCTTGCACTACCAGCAGGGGCGCTCATGTACCCCTTTGGTCTCCAGTCTAAATGCATTTTTCTATCAACCACTTGAGTGATAAGCAGTAAGTCTGTGAACCTTGGAGATCCAAGAAGTGGCCAGCAGCCACATTAGTAGAGGTGGCATCTAATGGATCCCAGTTACATTCCCCATGTGGTGTTCCCCAGAGATCCACATTAGATGGAAAGCACACTCGGAAGAAAGTGAAATGCAATGAAGTACTTTCTCCATCTCAAGAACCCAGCAGGCAGGGCAGGCAGGGCAGGCAGGGCAGGCAGGGCAGGCAGGACAGGCAGGGCAGGCAGGGCAGGCAGGGCAGGCAGGGCAGGCAGGGCAGGCAGGGCAGGCAGGGCAGGAACTGGACTCACCTCCAGGGAATCCTTGACTGAAGACTTTGAGTGCCCTGGCCAGGGGATGCTATTAAACACCAGCAATCTAACCAAAATTTCAACAGTACCAAGACTCTACCCTGACCCAGCCATCTGAGCAAAGACTGACATTCCCTCTGGAACCTTCAATGCAGACTTCTGTAGGTATCACTGACATGAGAAGCCTCAGGAAAGCTTCTAGAGGCATGAAATAGTCCCACCAGAAGTAAGAACACAGAATGATCCAGTTTCAGGAGGAATACTTTTCCTAAATCCACACAATTGATTACAATAAGATACCAGAAAAAAAAGAGGGGTGGAACATTGACCAGTGTTTAAGAGCATTTGCTGCTCTTGCAGAGGACCCAGGATGGTTCACAACTGTCTATAACTCTAGTTCCAGGGGATCCAAAACCCTCTCCTCACCTTTGCCTGCATCAAACACACACATGTAGTTCACAGACATACAGGCAAAACACACATACACATAAAATAAAACAAATAATTCTAAAAATATCTTCTAAAGATTAAAAAAATATACCAGGAAAAAAGAAACATCCTATTTGGATTTGGACTCTGAATCAACCACGGGAAGAAGGTGGGGCTCCCAGAAGAGAAGACTGCTGACAAGCCAGAGAAAGGACCAGATGTGAGCTTCCGCGGAGTACACAGACCAAGTGACTTCTGTTCACAGTGCTCCTTCTGCCTGTGTCTCTGCCACCATGCCGTGTGGTGTGTCCTTCCTCAGCTTAGCACCTGCTACTGCTTCCTGTTGTCCCGTTCCCTCACCTGAGAGCTCTTCCTCAGCCCCACCCCATTCACTTAAGGTTACCTCTCCTTTGGACTTTTAGCTCGTGACCTTCACAGTTGAGAACAGTTAAAGCTGCTTTCTCTGCAGGCTCTTCTAGAATAACCTGTCTGAATAAGCCTTTGCTGTGTGTCTGCCTTCTCTGTAGATATCTGCAAATGCTAAGTCTCATGGGAAGGGAAACAAGACCAGAAGTTCACAACAATCTTTGGCTACATATAGATAGAGTTCAGGACCAGCTTGGACCTTTTCCAAAAACCCAGGAGAGGAGAACCAAACAACTTGTTTTATTTTGCTTTTGAGGATCTCACTCTGTTGTTCCAGCTGACCTGAAACTCCCAGAGATCTGCCTGCCCCTGCCTCTCAAATCCTGGGGTTCAAGGTGTGTACCACCATGCTCCCCCTAAACAACAGTTTTTTCAAAGTTCCTATGTACACATTTTATTGTTCTTTTCCAGTTGAAAAGGCAGGCAGCAGCTCTCTCCCATTCTCTATGGACTATACACACCTCTCCAAATACCCAGGCATAATTGGGATACCCTGCTGAAGCATTCAGTGAAGGCTGAGTGTTGGGGTGATTTTGGCCCTCAACTGAGCAGTGGGAAAGTAGCAGAGAAAGCCTGGTGAAGTTTCCACACTGTGTAACTGCATTATGGCTCTATACTCACGACCACTTTGTTGAAGATATAAGTTGGAGTCTGGAAAGCTAGTTCATCATGAGATTCCTGGATTCAGGCTATCACAGATACTTGGGGTTTTTTTGTTTGTTTGTTTGTTTGTTTGTTTGTTTGCTTGCTTGTGGTGTTTTGTTTGTTTGGGGTGTGTGTGTGTGTATGTGTTTTGGGAAGGAAGAGACAAGGTCTCACTTTATACTCTGGCTGACCTGGCCTATGAACACCAGGCTGACCTCAAAACTCACAGAGCTCCATCTGCCTCTGCCTCTCAAGTGCCAAGATTAAAGACAAGTGCCACCACACTGGACCCAAATATTTGTTTTTAACCTGTAGCCAAGCTCTCATTTGCTGCCCACACAACCAGCACTAAAATGCTGAGATTTAGGACTGCTTATGTCAGTAAGAAAGAAAAAAAATAGCAGGCCAAAGAGCCTGTCACTTGCTATGAGAAAGACGGCTGTGGTGGAGCCCAGCCCGTCCGATGGGCACCTCCCTCTTTCCTTCCTAGGATGCAGGTCTCCTAACTAATATCTCATTTTACAATCTGTGGTCTGATTTTCTATACCAGACATACTAGCTGCTTTGCTTCCATCAAAGGTGTGTCCATCCAGCCTGACTCAGTAATGAGGGCAGTAAAAACTAGCAAACACCATAGAACCCAGAGGCTTTTAGGACTGGCAGCATGCAGTGCCCGTGGAGCTCAGGAGGAGAGCATATGGGCAGACTTCATACTTTTCACCACTGTCCGTGGCTGGGCAACCACACACCTCCAACACCCCAGAACAATGGTATTTCCCCTTGGCCTGGAGGAGCTAAGACACCTGGTGAGCACAGGCATCTGTTGCTGGTCTTTGCTACTCTGTAGTTTCTTCTCTTTTCCTCTACCCTTTATCCCCTTGGTTTCAACCCCCCATCACTAGATAGGAGAGAAAGAAGGATAGAGAAGAGATAGAAAGAGCTAAAGATCTCTGAATCTAATTCCTTCTTATTTCTCTTTGAGCACAACTCCAGCAAACTGTAACCAACCTCCGTAAATGACCAACAACTCCCAACCTCACCTAGGGGGCCCTAGCATTTATATACACATTGAAAAATTCCCAGAATTCCAAATCTTACCCAATCCCAGAAACTACATGCAGCTGACAACACCATGCCTCTGCTAGAGCATGAGACAAACCACACTCAGCTGCTGAGAAGCACCCCCAAATCCCCACACCTGGGATTAAAACAAAAACATATTCTCAATATTTTTATGTTTTTTAAAAAGAAGCCAAAATTCCAGAATTCCCACTATTCCACTAGGCCTCAGAAGGAGAGGCAGAAATGAGCTATGTACACAGCTCCTCAAGAATCCTCTTCCTGCTGGGCATGGGGCACACGCCTTTGATCCCAGCAATCAGGAGGCAGAGGCAGGCAGATTTATGTGTTTGAGGTAGCCTAGTCTACAGAACAACCAGGGCTGCATGGAGAAACCGTATCTGAGGGTAAGGGGAATCCCCTCTACCAGTCCTTCCATCCACTAAATTCCCAGGATTCCCGTAACTAGACTGTAGTCTCTAGGGAAGGAGGACATTTCTTGGGGACTTTGAGTCTAAGATGAAAAGACACTGATTTTGTCTTTTCATCCTATCAACACATCCCATCCAGGCTGAAAGCTCTCACCTGCTGTTAGTGTCTCCCACTCTTAATCATAAGCAGACAACACAGTTTGTCTGAGGACGAATTCCTGTGTGAACATCTGAGGAAGAATTCCTGCATGGAAAGCAGACACTAAAACAAAACTACCACCAAAACAGAGGAGGAAATAGAGATTGCGTGTGTGTGTGTGTGTGTGTGTGTGTGTGTGTGTGTACACTTGGGAGTCAGAAAAAAAGAACTTTTAAAATGTTGATAGAATATGACAATAGAAACAAAAACTTAAGCAGAAAAATGGAATACCAAACTTGAGGAATCCTCCTAGAAAACTCAGCAAAAGCCAGATAGATAATTGGAAAGAAAAGAAAGTCTGAGCACCATGAGGTGGGACATCCAAATGGCAGAAGGTCACAGATAGGGGGCACTATCGAAGCTATTTAGGGTGCTTTCCCAGCAGGTAACACTCTGAGAATCTCTAAAGCAAAGCTAACTGCGAAACTCTTTGGAGACAGGACTGCCTCATCTTAAGATCCCAAGGGCCTTTACACAGGAACAAGGTGAGCCTGTAGTCTGAGTCATTTTCCTGTCCTCAGACACACCAAAAGAGGGCATTGGATCCCATTACGGATGGTTGTGAGTCACATTGTGCTGGGAATTGAACTCAGGACCTCTGGAAGAGCAGTCAGTGCTCTTAGCTGCTGAGCCATCTCTCCAGCCCCGAGTCATTTTTTAAATATTTATTTATTTATTTATTTATTT